CAATGAGGTGTTTAGTTATCAGTTATCTTGAGTCAGGTGATGTATGGCGATGTATGGGGTCACTTGTAGGTCTGTCAAAGAAACGATTATTAAGCAATCGCAGATCTGTTTTAAACTTGTCCTTCTGTACAATACAATATCGACTGCCAAATATTATGGAAGAATCATAAAGATAAAACTAACCTCAACGGAAACATCCCCGGATGTTCTGGGATAGATTCCGCGAGTTGAGTTTACGATACGTCACAAATGCATAATACTTAAGTATATCGATACCGAACTGAGACGGCCAAAACATACAGTGTAAAGAAAGAAATTTTATTTCTTCCTTTACACCGATTCTGCGGCGTAATAACTAACCTCATCTTATGGTGCTCTTTTCTACCTGTACACCTGAAATCGGGAAAAGAACGAGCGAATTTCTGTACATGGTCCCACATGACTGAACAGTGGAACTGAAGGTATGCCACGAAAACAATGTCACCGAATAAATTGGGCAGTCTAAATACCTCTGAACCGCTATCTCCAATGATGGCAGCTGTGAGCAAGAACTAAGCAAGAGGTATGCCTTCGTATGTTTGACATTTAAACGTCTGTCTGAAGTTTTAAATTCGAAAGAAATAACAGTCTGTTGCAGTTGTTTTTTCGCTCGCGTTTTCAGGCCCGTTCTGCTATACGAACTGGAAACAGCTGCTTGTAAAAAACGAATACGCGAACGCAATTTGAATAGCCTACAGCAGCGTTGAAGATCAGCCGGCATGAACGCATCAAGAACGACGACCTTCGACTATAACTGACATCATGAACACTGAAGAGACATGAGCAACAGCTGAATTCGATGGAAACGCGAATGCTCAGATGGCTGTGTGGTGTCAGCAGAAAAACCACATCCGAAACAGCTTCATAAGAAGCTCTCTAGGCATAGCACCAATCTCAAAAAAGCTCATCGAAAGCAGGCTCCGCTGGCGAGCCACCGAGCACGCTGGAAATGTGGTCCTAGCACTGATACTTCCGGGAAGGAAAAGTAGGGGAAGACCGAAGGAAAGGTGTCGCGATGTCCTCAACGACGATATGAAACTGCGAGGAGTCTCTGAAGATACAACGAACGACAAAAAGGTGTGTAGGAGGTTGATTCGATTAGCAGACCCCTGTTGAAGGGAACATGCTAAGAAAAAGAAGAAGAAGAAGATGACGATGATGACGATGAATACATCGGAGGTACGCACCGATGAAATGCTGGCATGGTTCGATTGTCTGTGAGTTAGCGACAAACACTCATTGACTCGTCAGGTGATGAAGTGGGAGCTGAATATACCAGCACATTAAGTGACACAGGAAACTGAACGTAAATCCGCTATCGTTAAGGAAGCCTTTTTTGTAGACGCAGCAAATAGCACAGAATATTAAAATATGAAACGTTGACCGCCGCTAATGTGGAATCTGGGTGGACACTCTTTAAGAGCGGCCTACTCGGGGTCGCTGCCGAATACTGTAACGTAAAACGGGTTGGCTTGCCACCTGGAAGTTAGAAAAGCACCTCCCAGTCTACATGATAGGTTCAACTGGCTGCCACGAAGTAGAATCGAAGAGACGGCGTGGAAACAAAGAGCCTTCAACTCGAATGCAGTTTGAAGCAGCACGCAAGCACGTACTTCGTGGGCTTGTAAAAGGCGTCTTGCACAAAGGCCATGGACGTGCCACGAACATATATGATCGAAGGCCTGTTGCCATGAGCTATCCAATCACTGTATGGTGATAGCGGGTGCTGCATTGGAGTAAATCACGTTAGGTCGAGACTTTTCATCTTAAACACTGATTTCCGCCAAAACTGCGTTCTGTTCTCTCGCCCGTTTGTGTGTTGTGCATTGGAAGTCAAGGAGACGAGTACATGAGCATAGTAGGTGCAGAGATGAGAAAGTTGCTGTTTGTAGACGATGCTGTTTTGTTGGCATCTTCTGAAACTGATCCAAGTGCGATCTCTGGAAAGGTTTGTAGCCGAATGCGACGTGATCCCTGCAAGCATTTTAGAACGAATCCAAAACAATCAACCTAGTGATTTCTCCTTCTCCTCTCCGTTGCTCTCTTCAGATTAACGGAGAGGCAGTGGAACAGGTGGAGAAATTCAAGCACCTCGGAACTATATTTACTACTGATGGAAAATTGGAGGAAGAGATCGACCGGCGAATTAGAGTAGCCAGTGGCGTTCTGCGTGAATTAGCCCGACCCGTTGTGACTAAACCAGAGCTCAGTCTGAAAACGGAGCTCTCGGTATTCAAGTCGAATTTTATCTCCATGCTTATATATGATGATGGGTAGTAGATCATGAATAAAAGGCTTCAATCACGGGTACAAGCTGCTGAAATGGGCTTTCTTAGACGAGTCGCTGGTCTTACGCGTCTCGACATGGTCCGGAGCTGATATACGGAAGAGCCTTGGTGTACAGCCAGACTGAGAAGTCACAGCTGAGAAGTTTTGGGAATGTGTTGCAAATGCATCCAGAAAGGCAAGCGAAGCAACTGTTTCTTGCCTAGCTGACTGGCAGAAAAGCCAGTGGACATTTGAGATTATCCTGATGCAAACATATGGAAGGAGTCTGTTCCAGACTGCATTTGTCTTTTGCCGAAGCTCAGACTCTGGCACATGATCGGGAACGTTGGAAACACTGTCTGATGCGTCTGTCTCCGTGACCTGAAAATGAACGGTGTTCGAAACTGACCGACTGAATGTTGAGGATTGACGTGCCAGATCGTAAGCTACCTGCAGAATTATAGCAGCTAAAGATGGTGTGGATAAAACAAAAAACGACTCGACACACGGTGCTTTAACACATCGAAACCAGCCGTACGATGTGGTGATCAAGTGTCGTCCCAAATTTTTTCTAGGTGCTGTTGTCATATGTAATTGGACTGAAAACGGATGGAAGCAGATCGATGGCTGCTTCGTCGGTCAAACGTTTGGACAGGGCATCAAATTGAAACTTAGGAATCGTAGCAAATATGCTGACCAGGCAATGTAAGGGAATGCTTGGCAGAGGGATGTACGGTGAAGTGCATTCACTCCAACCGTTACCGTTGTCAGGTCAACCTCAACTTATGGTAAATCCTGAAACAGACATTTAACGAAGCTCCGGTGAAGCCGTTCCGAGCCATTCATTCACTCAATATAGAAATTGTACTTATTCATCATTTGGACTCGATTTTATTGGTAATCGACATGGAAATCTCACTGGATATGAGTACAGATCTGAAGAAACTTGAATGCGGAAATAGGTACCTTTCGGTGCTATGTGTCGAACGCAATTTACTACATGGAACATGCGAACGCTAAGCGGACTTGACAGA